TATTTTGCTGCCTATGGAGTCTTGTAGGATTTTTATGGTTTCCCGTCTTACATTTAAGTCCTTTAGCCATTTTGAGTTTGTTTTTGTGTATGGTGTAAATTGGTGATCTAGTTTCATTTTTTTGCATGTATCTGACCAAATTTCCCAGCACCATTTATTGAAGAGACTGCCTTGACTCCATTGTATGCTCTTGCCTCCTTTGTCAAATATTAATTGGGTTCTCTGTTCTGTTCCATTGGTCTATATGTCTGTTCTTGTGCTAGTACCAAACAGTTTTGAGAACCGTGGCTTGGTAATATAGCTTGATATCTGGTCTGTTTCTTGCCTCTTCCAATTTGTGGTGGCTGCCCAATACCCTTTGGTGTATAATGGCATCTCCTCAAACTCTCTCTTCACATTGCCTTCTCCACTGAGTGTGTCTGAAATCTCCCTCTGCCTTTCTCCAAGAGTACGTGTGATTTCATCTAAGGCCCACCCAGATAATCCAGAATAAACTCTTGGAGATCCTTAATTTAATCATTTGCCATGGAAGGTAATATTCACAGGGCTGAGAATTAGGACTTGCACATATTCTTGCCATAGAGAATTTCATTGCAGATTGGCTGAAAACACTTGGTTTCTAATCTGGAAAGATGAGCCAGGCTATGACTAAAATTATTATGAGGAATGTACTTAGAGTGATTGATTTTATACCAAATATTGAAGTTCTAGATCTGAGAACCTTCCTACCCATCTACACACACATTTGATTCTGGAAGAACTATGCAAGTTTTCAGTGAATTAATTTAGGGTACCGACTGTGCTTAGAAGTTAGTTAACAAAAGTTCATAACAGGTTTAATTATATTTAAGAAAAACTGATATGCTGTTATGGTCAATTAGGAATTCTTTCAGATAAATCTTACTTCTAAGGTAATTATCATAAAACCAACTGTAATTTCCTTAGACTAATCTAGGGATTTTCAGCTGATATGCTGCAAGAATTTTTAAAACATGCAATCACTATTTAGTCAGGGGCACTGACCTCTTTTCCCTTAGATTGTCAAGTTGAAAAAATGACAGTAGCCAACACAACGATAGCTGTCCAGTGTGAATGAGTCGATATTATATCAATTTTTTTGTCGGATCAGAAAATTGTATTTTTTGGTGTTTTGCAAAATTTTAGTTATCTATATAGAAAAGGCTAATATGCCAAGTGTCCATCCCGGCAATGACATCACATAGCAACGCCCAGCTTCCTCTCCCTAGCAATTAGCCTCCTTGTAGTTTCTTCAGCCCAGGAACGTGACTTGCTTCATACCCAGGTGAGAACATTTTACATTGTAACAAATGTCTGTGAAGCTTTCCCGTGCCTCATCTCATTTGATCCTCACAGAAGTCTTGGAGTAGGTAGATAGGAGACTCAGTAGAATCCTATTTTTTCATTAGCCAGGAAATGGAGATTTAGAAGGCTTAGAAACTTGACCGGACTGAAAAGAAGTAAGAAATGGTGGAACTTGAAAATGACTTCAGGTTTTCTCATTGCACAGAATATAGTCAAACACTGCTATAGTTAAATTTATTTTACCCTTTGTTTTCCTTGCATGATCTACAATAATAATCTGCTTCGTGTTGATATTTACTGCTGTGTTGCTGACAATTATCTGAAAGAGAAGTTGGGGAGCTTCACTGGGCTGAGAAAAGTTTAGCTCAATCGGAGAGCAGGTTTAATTAAGCAAGTTTATTCTATATCTATAAAAGGCTAAGTTGACTCGTACATGCATGATACATATAAAGCTCTTGCTGGCGCCAACCGCACATGTGTGTTTCCATCTGTCATTGTCGGTTGTGAATTTGGTTGACCTATTATAGAGAAAGGGCGTATAACAATATTAAAATATTTCTTCTAATTAATTGCCTTTCAATGTGCACAAATTCGTGCACTTAGCCACTAGTTAGTTTATATGTGCCATGGATGAAAAGGGTTGAAAATCGCTGGACTCATCTGACTTGACTCAGTCAAATTTTGTTTTATTATTTGCACTCTTGAGTCTAGACTTCCAAAGCCTGTGCTGTTCAATATGCTAGCTACTAACTATATGAATACTTAAATGCAAATTAATTTAACTTAAATACAAATAAAGATTCAGCTCCCTTTTATAAAGTAAAGAAATATATCTGTGTGACTTGGCCATTCCAGGAAACTTGATAGTTTAGGCATAAATGACTCTTAACAGTTTGGTTATTCTGAATTTTGGGTGTATACAAACAACATCAGAAATGGTAAATATGTATGTACATATAAAAAAACTTTTTCCTTATTTTTCAGTCTTTTTAAAAAGAAAACTTTTTGTTTTTTTTGTTTTGTTTTGTTTTGTTTTTATTGCTTAAAGTATTACAAAATTACATATGTATGTGTCCTTTTTTCCCCCGCCCTTGACATTTCCCCGGCTTCCCCTACCCCCCAGTGTCTTATGTCCATTGGTTATGCTCATATGCATGCATACAAGTCCTTCGGTTGATCTCTTACCCCCCTCCCTCCTGCCCCCCAACCCTCCCCGGCCTTCCCGCTGCAGTTTGACAATCTGTGTGAGGCAGCTCTGCCTCTGTATCTATTATTGTTCAAGAGTTTGTAATGGTCTCTATTATCCATGAATGAGTGAGATCATGTGGTGTTTTTCCTTCATTGACTGGCTTATTTCACTTAGCATAATGCTCTCCAGCTCCATCCATGCCGTTGCAAATGGTAAGAGTGCCTTCTTTTTTACAGCAGCATAGTATTCCATCGTGTAGATGTACCACAGGAAAACTGACTTTTTGAAGCAAAAAATAATGACAGTGTCATATGGCATTATAACATGAGAAGAAAGTAAATGTGTGCCCACAGTAATATGAAGGTCAGGGAAAGGAGGGGGCCTAAGGACCTTATTCTATACTTGAAATTAGACTATACTGTGTTAAAGAAGTATACTTAAAATCCTAAGCCAAACACTAAAATAACAAAATAGTAATAGCTAATAATCCAGGAAAGAGGCAAGGGAAAGTCATAAATGATATTCTATTGACCCAAAAGAAAGGAAAGAAAAAGGGACAGAGGACAGATAGAGTAAATAGAAAACAAATATGAACATGGTCAATTTAAACCCAACTACATTGGTAGTAGTAATAAATGCTAATATCTAAACAACCCAATTGAGAGGCAAAGATAGCCAGATTGTATAAAAAAAGAAAAAGCCATCTACTGTATACATTTCCTATAAGAAACCCACTGTAAATATAAAGACAAAAGTAAAAGGATGGAGAAAGATACCATGTTAACATCCAAAGAAAGCTAGAATGGCTATATTAACAGTAAATTTCAGGGCAAAGAATATTACTGGGGATTAAAGAAGGTCATTTCATAGAAAAAGGATCACTTTAAAAAGAAGACAT